TTCAGGAAAGACAGTAGATTGTATAGTTATCCCATAGCAGGGCAGCGCCCCAAACTATACAACCTACTACCTCACCCCAAAGGGCCGTCAGTCTCGGAGCCAGGTCAGCTTCAGGCCTTCCGGACACCTGCAGGGGACAGGGGATGGGGTTGGGGCCCGGGATTCTGGCTGGTGGGTCAGCTCCTGGGAGGAGTCCAGAGGAGAAACCCGCCGACCCGAGGGGGAGGGGAGGGCAGGACTGGGGGGGTGCAGTGGGACTTTCGGGAAACGGGTCTGGCGGCCAGAACACTCCCATCTGGACAGGAGTGGCCAGTGTCCCCACAGGACTCATACAGTGGGAGGAAGTATGTCATCTGTTGGAGCCACTGTGTGTCAAAAAGGTGTGCGTGTCCATCTGGCCACCCACCTCCCCGACACACCTGTGGCCTCGGGCCCACTCCCTCCACCTGCTGGACAGGTGTCCTCCCTCCCCCAGGACTCTGCTTGGTCTGGGCCTGCTGTCCGGGTGACCCGAGCTGTGCCCACTTTGGGAGACACATGGCCACCTGCTTCTTGGGGGACCCTGAGGAAAGGCTGGCGTGCCACGGGGCCAGATGTCACCCTGCCATCCTGTGTCACCCGGGTGTTCGGTGGGACTGGCCAGGGGTAGAAGACTCCCTGTCCTGACTCCTGCAGAGTGACCCAGGGCAAGAACTCCTGGGGCTCAGGCTGGGCGGGTGTGCGGTGCCCCTGCAGGGTGGGGACTGTCCCAGCCCAGGGGCCCACCCTAAAGCCGGGCTCACCGTGCAGAGGGCCGGCCTCGGACAGGGGTCCTGTCTCAGCGCCACCGTCTGACCTGCTGGGTTTCAGGAAAAAGTGACAAGTGTCAGGTCTGGAACAGACAGCCAGGCCCGAGCTCGCGCTGCTCTGCCCCCTGCCGAGGACCCTGCCTTTCAGCCCAGCCTAGGGACACACTCGTACAAGGACCCCAAGGGGGTGGCCTCCAAGGCCAACCTGTGCCGGGCCCTTGAATGATCAGGGCCACCGGACCCATCATTCTGGTGACCGGCGCCACGCCCGGTTCGCACCAATGCTCTGGGGCTTGGAGGGGCCAGGGGAGAAGGGACACTCACTGCCCTCCTGTGAGCCTGGCAGTCAGAGGGACGCGTGAGGGAGGAGTGGAAACCCCTGCTCCCCAGAGGGGGCTCCGGAGAGGCCGAGGTCCCGGTCCCTCCCAGCCGGCACAGGAGAAGCCGGCAGGGCCAGTGCTCCCGGGAGGGGACAGAGGAATGGGGTGAGCACTCGGCCGGACCACTGGATGCAGCCAGACCCACTCAGCTCTGTCCAGCCCCGCCCCACGCCAACACGGCACCCGCCCAGCCCTGGCTCCTCCACCACTTTGCCGTCCAGCTTCCCCTCCGACTTCCCAGAGCAGAACAATGCCCTGGACAGACATGCGCTCGCACTCCCGCCTCCGCCCTGCCTGTGCTGTGCCGGGTGGGCCCCGGGCCGGTGTCCCCACGCGGGAGCACCCCTGCGCCCCCCGGGAGGCCCGCACCTGAAGCGGGCACTGTGGCTGAGCAGGGCCGGGCACCCCGACCCCCGCAGGTCCCCGCTGGCTCTGCCCCCACCAGGAAAGGCTCACGTGGAACCTGCCTTTCTTCAGCTGCGTTTCTTGGGGGCAGGGTTAGGATGGACATTTCTGGGTCTGTGACCAGTTAGCGGAGGCATTTCTGAGTTGGTGGGTGTTGGGGGGCATGACCTGCGGGCCCTGTGGTGCTCGGAGTGACCGGGGCCTCAGGCCGCGGGAAGACAAGCAGAGCGTCCCCTTCCCGGGGGGTGCAGTGAGGGTGCGGAGACAGAGCACGGGACCTCCCCAGCCAGCCTGGCTGAGGCCGAGGGCAGGGGCTGGCAACGCGGGCCCAAGGGGCTCCTGAAGACCGAGCAGTCAGTCACCCCGCCAGCTGCCAGCTGCCACCGCGGCGCTGCCCCAGTCCCACAGTGACCGCCCGCTGAGCTGGGCAGGCCGGGGGGGAGGGGCCAGGCGGCTGGGGACAGGTGTGTGGGAGGCCTCTATGGGCAGGTGGCCCTTTCAGAGCCAGGCGGATGTCTGGAGCGAGTGAGGCAGACAGACGGTGTCACCCCGCAGTCACCTCAGGCTTGGCTTGGGGCCACTGGGAGCTGGGCACCCCCCGTCATGGCTGTCCCCCCACCATTGTCACCCCGATTAGGTTTCTCCCCATAAAGCAGCCAGTGTTTCTGCTTGTCAGGCTGAGCCAACAATGGAGTCTGGGAAAAGGACATGGGGAAGGCATCCGGGGGACGGGTCCCCCACAAACATGGCCGTGAAGTTAACGAGATGTGCGTGCCGGGCAGCGGGTGACCAGCACCGGGGCAGCCAGCCGGGCACTCAATCTATGGAGCGCCGGGAGCAGCATCAAAACGAACGAGAAATTTCGAGAACTGCTCCCGGGGCAGGGTCCGAGCCTGCCCTGCTGCAGCATCACCCAGGTCGGAGCGGGGCCCGCGGTGGGCGCCGACGCCGCAGCCCTCGGGTGCTCAGGCCCGGGGGCTCACAAGAGTGGGGTCCTGCTCTGTGGGGGCACGGCAGGTGGGGGGCAGAGGGTACTGGCCATCGGCCCCTGGCCTCGGCGGCAGAGCTGGCCGGGGTGTGCCCCGTGCAGCAGAGGGGCGTGCGGAGGGAGGCGCTGCCCCACGGCCCTAAGGGCACGGTCTGCTGGGAGTCCCAAGGGAAGGCGAGACCAGAGCTGCCCTGCGGTCCTGTGGGCGTCTCCACGGGCATCTTACCAGCAGGCAACAGTTTAACCTCAGAGGCAAGTATTTATCTGAAAACGTTCTTAATTCAAGTCTGGGTCACAAGGGGAGGGGGGAAGGGAGAGGCAGCATTAAAAACGCCAGCGTGAAACCCTGTCCCTCGGAGCCCCACCTGGACACCACTCCCCCGGGGACGGCCTTCCTTGTCCCAGAGGCTGCAGGCTCGGCCTGGCGTGAGACACAGCGCTGGTCACTCCACCGCCCCCCCAGCAGCCCTGGCTCCTCGGCCACAGCGTGTTCTCCCGGACACAGGAGGGCGCCCGGGAGGGGCCTGGCCCAGTCAGCAACCTTCCCCACCTGCCCGGCTCCCGGAGCCCTGCCACCTGCACGCTCTGTACCGGGGTCCCCTCGGGCAGGAAGGGAGCAGGGTGCGGCCGCGCTGACCGCCGGGCACCACCCACGCTCCCGGAGACATGGCGCCAGTCCTTCCGAACACACACGCTCCCCAGTCCCGTGCCCTCTGAGGACACTGGCTGGTGCTGCGGGCAGGTGCGCGGGCTGGCCCCCGCAGAGGACACCGTCCACAGTGAACGGCACAAGGGTGCCTCCTCCACACTGCTCCCTGAGGATTTGGGGTTCCTCGGCGGGTGAAGGGGAGGGGTCCCGAGGGCGCGGCCTGGGCCAGCCCTGCCCGTACAGTGTCCAGGGAGCCACGGAGGACGCCCTGCAGGAGCAAGGATGCCCGTTCACCGCTGTGCCCTGGTTTGTGCCCTGCCTGCTGGGCATGGAGGTCTGGGGTGCATGAGGGCCGGGAGAGGGACTGGGGCTCCGGGCTGCCCTGCCAACATGTTGGCCGGCGCCAAGGCCGGGCGCGGACGGGGACAGCGCTGGGCTCGGTCCAGCCACCCCAGGCAGGCAGGCGGGCCGTGGTCCCCTCCTCCTCATCTGGCCGCCACCCTGGACACGAAATGGCGCAGGGCTGAGGCGGCCATTTCGTGGGGCCCTCGGGAGACACAGGAAAGAGGAAGGACCACTCTGGAAATGGGCCACCGACCCTGCACTGAGGCCAGGGGGGCCTGGCTAGAGGGAGGGGCAGCGGGCCCTTTCTGGAACCTTCCTCCCCCCCAAGCTCCCAGCTGCCCTGGGGTGCCACAGGCCTCAGCGCGGCCAACCCGGCCAAGGCAGGAAACCCCGCAGGGAAGGGGCAGCAGGAGACTCCCCACAGACCCTGCTCCTGGCTGCCCCCCGGAGGCTGCTTCTTGGGGAGCCCCTGGCATCTCAGAGAGACTACAGGCTTCTGGAACCCCGTGGCCTCCGGCTTGGCTGCAGGGTTTGGGGGTCAGGACCCAGGTGCTCATCTTGGTGCCCCAGCCGGGGTGAGGGACACACCTCTCGGGGACTGAGTTTCATGTGGAGCCTGGAGGCCGCCACTGCTGCGCATGGGGAGTTGGGCATTTCACACAGGGGGTGCCCAGGAAAGCTGACTGCTCCCCAGCCCGTGTCCTGGCGGCTACGCCGGCTCCTTTCTCCCCAGGGGCCCTGCTCTGCTCTCCCTTCAGCTCCACTAAGTTCTTCTCCGCGACCCCCTTCCCTGATGTCTCCCCCCCTGGGTCCCACCCCGCCTCGGGCACCGGCCGCCGCAGACACAAAGCCGGCAGCGTCTGCATTCTGGCAGGCAGGCCGGACGACGAAGACCAAGGCCCAGATGGCGGAGGGTCCTCCACAGCCCTGGGAGGTGGGCCTGCCCCTGACCATGGCAACAGGGCTAGAGGGAGCCGCCTGTCTGGCCCTGTGGCCTCCCAGGAGGCTTCCATCGGCCAAGTGGGCCGGCAGTCTGCATCGCGGGCTGGCTCTGGGGCAGCGCAGGGCGTGAGGGGAGGGGGCAGCGGATTCTTGGAACGGCAGGCCCCACCGAGGCCACCAGGCAACTGTGACAGAAACTGGCAGGCTGGGCCCTTTTCACCTGCTGTACCCCTGAGCTCTGCTGATATCACACACTGCCCTGTCCCGCGCTGTGCTGCCCTGTCCCGCCCCATGCTGCCCTGTCCTGCCCCGTGCTGCCCTGTCCTGCCCCGTGATGCCCTGTCCCGCCCCGTGCTGCCCTGTCCCGCCCCGTGCTGCCCTGTCCCGCCCCGTGATGCCCTGTCCCCCCCCCCCGTGCTGCCCTGTCCCCCCCCGTGCTGCCCTGTCCCCCCCCGTGCTGCCCTGTCCTGCCCCGTGCTGCGCTGTCCCCGCACTTGGCCCCCACTTCAGATACCCAGAGATGGCTGGCTCCTTGCAAAGGAAGCGTCACTCAACTTATGTGCGGAAGGTGTCCTGCTTCCAGCCTCCTGGGGTGAGCCCTGGGCCCCCCACTGCAGAAAGAGGCAGGCAGGGGTCACGGTGGACCCGCTGGGCTCGCGCAAATGAGCAGGAACTGCCTGCCCGCTCCTTGCTCCTCCAGAGGCCACGGGGTGTGCGTGTGTGTGCACAGTGCATGTGACACGTGTGTGCGCCCCGGGTGGCACCTCGGGGGGTGAAGAGTCCTGACTTTCAAGATTGCAAACACAGCACTGACCTGAGGGTGGCCGGCATCCAGGCATCAGTCGCCAACGAAGCGAGGCGGCCGGGAAGCAGGGGCGCCACCTGGAAGGGGAGAGACGCTGGGTAAGTCCCAGGAAGGAGCCCCCAGCGGGCGTGTGCGCACACGTCCCGCGCCCGTGCCTGTCGGGTCAGCCCACCCTGCTCTAAGAACCCGTGAGGCCGGCACAGCCAGGATCCATGAGGCTGCCCTCGGACGAGCCTGGGCATCGAGGTGCTTCCAGGGCACGCCAGAGGGCCCTGACAGAACCTCAGGTCTGGAATGCACCAGGCCAGGCCTCTGGCGGCCTCGCGCAGCACAGCCGGGACCCTGGCCCACTGATGTGTGCACAGACCCAGGACCTTAGCGGCTCAGACCCGAGGCCCCACCCAGCCACCTCTAGCACTGCCCTCACGGGCCAGGCCACCTCCCCAAGGCTGTGAGACTGACCGAAGCCACAAGAGGCCTGGGCACCTGGGCACTGAGTCCCTCCTGCCCACAAGCGCCCAGCTGCACAGGCAGGACAGGCTCTGCCCCAAACCCCTTCTCTGTCACTCAGACCCAGCACCATCAACCCGAGATAACAGACGGAGGGAACTGGACCTGGCCCAGGGAGAAGCTGGGAGCGTGCCCGATAGGACACACCTGGGCAGTTTTCTGTCTGTCAGTGAATGACAAACCTGTTCCTTCTTGGGCGCCTACTGTGTGTGAAGACTGTGCTCTCCGCCCCCGGGACCGCTGATAGATGGGGCCACATTCCCCTCCTGCTGGGCCACCCACCTCTTGGGTTACCTCCCGGCCCAGGCCCAGGGCAAGGACCACCTCACCTCGCGTGCAGTTCTGGAACCTCTTCCAAAGGCCATGGGGGGTCCCACTTCCTTCGGGGTACTCTGGGATGAGCCATATCCTGCAAGACACAAGTGACTGAGGAGTCAGCTCAGCGAGCCTGGTGGTACATAGCCCCGGAAAGGGGAGGGGCCCCGTGCAGCCCCGCCCCCAGGCTCACTGACCCCTCCCACCCCGCGTGGCCACAGGCTCCGCAGTGCCCAGAGCTCAGGGACTCACTTGGAGGCAGAAAACTGTACAAAAAGCCTCATCTGACTGCCCGCTCGCACCCATTCCCGGGCTTGCGCACCCCAAACCCAACCCCAACCACTGGCCCCTTGCAGCCCAGCCGTGCAAATCGCTGGTGTCCGCAGAGGAAGGGCTGACAGGGTTTGGGGTGCCTGCTCTCGGCAGAGGGAGGCCGCCCCTTCACAATGCCTGCACCCTCTCGCTCAGCTCTGTCAAGGCTCCGACTGTCCCTGGGGCTGGAATGTCGTCCTGCCCAGGACAAACGATGGCACTGCCGCCTCCCCCGCGGCTGGGGTTCTGTGGCTGTGTGCCCCTCCGCCCCGCAGGGTGGCCAGGAAGCACCTCCCACTCACTCTGGGAACCACACCCACAATCTGGGGCCCGGGAGGTGCAGTTCTTTGGGTCTTTCTTACACAAGCCAGCGAGGGGACACCCCAGGACCAACGGCACGAGGACCCGTTGGGCTCAGGCCTGCATCCAGGCACAGCAAGGGCTCACTGACAACACGAGGCAAATCCAGACCGGGTCCGACCCGCCACGGCAGGCGTTCCGCTGGGCTTGGTCAGAATCTCGGGTGGGGTGAGGAATCCGGCCCAGTCCTCTCTTGAACTTCTGCCCAGACCAAGCACGAGCGACCAGGAGGAGGGCGGAGGCCGGCACCACGTCCCCAGGTGTTGGTCCCTTCCATCCCCCCTTCAAGCCCTCCTCCCCGAGACTCTGCCCACCCAGCCTCCCAGTCATTCCAGGCATCTGGCTCCCACAGACCCCACAGGCAAGAACACAGCTGTCCCCGTCCACTCCAGGTCCCTTCACCTAGCACAAGGGTCAGCTCCCTTGGGCAGGGTGGCGGAGAGCTGTGGGAGCCACCGGGCTGGGAGGCGCCCTGTCCCCACCGTCACCTCACAGCCCCCTCCTCCCTCTCTCTGGCCCACGCTCGGACCCGTAAGGCCCTCAGAGGCTGGAGGGGGCTGCTGGTGGCTTCCCAGGGATGTGCTCAGACCCCAGGCCTGACACAGGGCATGTGCAGCAGGATCCCTGAGGACGGAGCCAGGAGCCTGGGAGCCCAAGGCCCTGAGTCACACCGCTCTGGGTTCTAATCCTCCCTCCCCGATCACTTGCCGCCTGCCGCCTCTCTAAGCCTGGAGCAGCTCACTGTCCTGATTGTAGGAGGGGAACACCCCAAGAAGGGACCGCCCTGAGCCCTCGCCTGGATGTCAGGACAGCCTCCTTGCCTCTCCCACCAGCAGGATGGGCACACACACCCCCGGCCCACCTGCCTGAGGCCCACGAGAGGCCCCTGCCCGCTGGTCGGTTAAGGGGTCCCACCTGTGGCGCCTGGGCTGGGAACACTCCAATGCCCTCACCTGGGCTGGCCCACACGCTGTGGAGGGCAAGGGGTGGCCAGGGCCCCTGCCTATCCCAGGGTCCCTCAGGGGCACCAGGACCCCGAAGTTCCAGAAGCGGGTCCGGGGTGGCTGGACCTGCTCGCTCACGCTCACAGCACCCCTACGCTCCAGACATTGCTGTGTCCGTGTGCAGGGAGACCCAGGGCTGCCGGGCTCCCCTCTCTGCTCTGCTCCGTGTGACCCTGGACAAACCCGTCACCTCTCAGGGACAGCAAGCCACCTCCTTAGATTCACGCACAAGATTCGGGACGGGCCCGCTCCGTGCCCGGTAGGCTCTGTGGACAGCAGCGCCCGCTGCGAAGACCCCGGGGCGCTGCGAGGACCGCTGGGAACGCTCTGGGCCCTGGTGCCTGGAGAAATTCCTCCCCAGCCTCCAGTCTTACCACTGACCAGCTCGCCTGGGCCTGGGGCCAGGGCGGACACGGCCGAGGGCGGGCGGTGCGACAGGACAGCCCCCCGCGGGAGCTCCAACCCCAGAGGGCTCAGCCCCGACTTGCCCACACTTGTCTTTGACATTAAACCCGGCCCCTCCCCAAGGTCATGGCATGTAGGAAAAACACCCTTCCCGCCACCGCCTGGTGCTGCCGAGCCCCCCCCCCCCCCCGCAGGCCCTCCACGTGCGTGGAGAAATGCCACTGAAGCCCTGCAGCCCGGCCCTGGGTCATGCCACGCCAGACACCCAAGCCTCCGAGGGACCGAGGCCGGGAGGGGTCAGGAGTCGGCCAGCGGGCTTGTGGGCAGCCACAGCCCCAGCCTGCGCCTGCCAGACACACACCAGGTGAGTCCCACCTTGGCTGCAGCACCTGGGCCAACAAGGCTCCAGCAGGGACCTGAGGCCCCGACAGACATCACAGCAGCCAGTGTGGTCAGGGCACAGGGAGCGCGTGTCCCCGAGGACATGGCATCTAGGGACAGAGCTCCAGGCCTGGGGAGGGGCCAGGAACGCAGAGCCAGACAGGTCCCAGCACCTTCGGGCTGTGTGGCCTCAGGAACCGGGCGTCGGAGCCCCAGTCTGATGGCTTAAAAAGGAGCCATTAACACATACTGCACGGAGCCGCCATCAGCCCGGACGCGGATGTGCGGCTCCCGCGGCTCGGCCGCCAGCACCGCGCCTCACACCGACTCTCCTCCGGGAAAGCCGGCCACCGCCAGGCGCGCCGCACGCCCCCAAAGTGTCCGTCTCTGAACCAGCGAAACAACGGGCCCCGAGCTAGCTCGACAACAAAACTTTTCTTTCCACTCGCCACCTCCAGACACCGTGCACGTGGAGTCAGGACGGCCGCGCCCGCCGCGCCTCTGCACCCCAGGGCGCTGTGCTCCTTCGAAACGGCCGCTTGCAGCACCCTGACCGTGGCCGCCTGCACCCTTGTACATAGCCGTCTTTCGGGGAGAAGGGCAGTGATCGTCTGGGTGGGGCAGCCTCCTCCTGAGCACGTGGCTGATTCTGTCATTTACGTGATGTTCCCCCCACTGCTGAAGAAACGCCCTCGTGAACCCAGACTGTGGGAGACAGAGAGGAGGGGGCGGCAAACACCTGTAACCGTCCGAAGGCTCACGCACCCCAGGAACCGCGCCCGCCTGTCCTGGAGCCCCCACCCCACGGCAGGAACCCCCGTGTGCCACTGGGTTACTGGGTCACAACTACTTACCCCCAGCAGAAGGGCTGGCGGCTCCGTTCCTCTGTTTGGGGGAACACCTCGATCTTTATGTACATCTTTCCCCCTTCTCCCCGGGGGACCCCCCAGAAGCAGGGCTTCCGCTCAAAGCCCAGCAGTGTGTTCACATCCCGAGGCAGCCACTCAAGCCTGGCCCTCAGAACCCTCCAGAAATCCCCAAAGGTCAGAGGCCGAGGTCAGCGAGATGTGGCACAGGCGGGGAAACTGAGGCTCAGAGCGAAGACTAGCCCCAGATCTTGCAGCAGGTCAACGAGAGCTGGACCCCGCCCGCCGGCCCAGACCCGCCTCCGCCAGACAAGACGGAGGCCCTCGGACACGGGGCGGGAACCGCCCACACCCTTGCTCATCACAGGCCCACGAAGGCAGATGATGGGCAGGGAGTGTGCTGAGTCCCGCAGGGCTGGGCGGGGGAGAGAGCCTGAGGTCTGTGGGGCCTCCCACGAGCTGGGACCGGAGGCAAGACCACATGGAACACGTGTGACTTGGAAACACCTGACTTAAATGAACAGAATGGGCCACTACCCACCCGTGACCCGATGGGCCAGCAGATGCCCGTCCACACCCAGCGCCCCAAGAGGGCAAGGGTGCTCTCCTGGCGGGACTCCGAGAAGCAGCGTGGCGGCCCCGGCCGGGGTTACCCCACAGATGGCCGGCGGCCCCGGCCGGGCCTGTGCACTGGGCACCTTCCACTGCCCGGGACAGGGTGTGGTCTCAGATGAGTCCTAACAGGGACTGTCCTGGTGGGGGCGGGAAAACGGCTGCTCCTCCCGGTGACACGGAGAACTTGGCGGCGAACTTGGCGGCTGGACCGAGGCACCGGCCCAACCCGGCCCCCTTCTCCCGTTTCAGTCGCTGGATTCCGTTCCGCTCATTCATGAACTGCTCCCCCAAGAGCCCGCCCCGTGCCAGGCTGGTGACGTCGGCAGTTACCTGTGTGAAGCGGTCTCCCTGCTCGGGGCCAGGGGCATGCGGGGTAGAGGCAGGTGAAGGCAGGGAGGGGGCAGGGCGGCCTGCGGGGGGCCTGGAGGGTCACAGGAGGGGAGAGATGTTGGGGACACGCTAAAGGGCAGCAGCAGGGCGGGACGTGGGCCTGGTCTGGGTGGGGACTACCTCAGCCGCCCCGCAGCGGGTCTCCGGGACGCCGGGGCTGAGACGGGAGGGCCGGTGAGGAGACAGCCCGAGGAGCCTGCCCACCGCCATAAATCACCGCGCCAGGCGGCAGAATCATCTGGGCACTTAAGCTCCTCGCTCTTCTCCCCCCCCCACCCCCACCCCCGGGGAAATTGCCTTCATTTCCTACATTATCCCCATCACCCCGCACGTCTCAATCAACCTGGCCGCTCGGCCAGCGTCGCTGCGGGGGGCCGACGGCGGAGAGGTCTCGGCTGCCCCGTGTGAGGGTCCTGCACTCTGCCCAGGACAGAGCTGCAACGCCCTGTCACCCCGCCTTCGAGCTGCAGCGACAAGGTCCCCAGGGCCCGTCACCCACTCTTCCAGCCCTGGCAAACTGAGGGGGCCTGGAGCGAGGCGGCAGCCTGAAGCCACCAAGAGCCCCCTCCTGGGAAGCTGAGGGGGAGGAACTGGGTCCCTCAGCCCAGCCGAGGAGGAGGGACCACCACCATGCCGGCTCCCCCGGCCCTCCTGCAGCTAGAACCAGGGACCCTGAGAAACGCCTGTCTGTCCTCACTGCCGCTGGGCTGGCTGGGTGACTCAGATGCACCGGGTCTGTGGCAATCTGTGGGGTGCGGCCT